CTATAATTCATGAGAAGCTTACGCTACAAAACACCTAGAAATGTACAGTATAGATTAGAAAGAGGGTTTTGTACAGAGCATTTTTCCTATTGATGAAGAAAAATAACAGTGATGGACTATAATTCATTATCATTTTTCCTATTAGAAAGAGGGTTTTGTACAGAGCATTTTTACTATAAGTCATTATCATTTCTGCTATTTCAGATAACAGTGATGGACTTTGTTGATGAAAAAAATGTTAATCACTGCCCAATGGGTATGAAGTAAAAGTTCATACCTAAGTAGAGAAATTTCACTTTCATGGTTGCCCCATTGTGTGAATCCCCAAATATGTTCACAATTTAATTCATTAGATTTGTTCTTGAATGACAATATTTTCCATTTCCTTGATTAAACTTGTACAAAATCCTTGGATCGTCACGGGTTATTGAAATCAATAAACTATAGATTTTGAACACAAAAAATTATCTTTCATAAACAACATACATCAAAGATCAGTACTAAACTAATACCTCTATAATGCTGACATTGTGAATACAATCCAAGCCTCCCAATTGAGGAATGGCAGGTGTTCTTCTTCGGTGATCACCCGCTTTTAGATCGGTCCAATCTTTTCCAATTTTTCTAATACTCTTCCTTTAGATTCTTCCTTTTTTGTAGTGGCTCCCTTTTAGGGCTGCCTCGGCTAATGAAGATTGGGATGGCAGAGAGAGAGAGGGAGGAAAAGAGAAGATGAAGATTGTGGCTGCCTCGGTTGATGAAGATGAAGATTGGGGTTGGGTCTCCAGCAAGGGAATGGGCTCTGATGGAGAGAGAGAGAGAAAGAGATAGGGGTGTGTGTTCAAAATTTGAAAATTGAAACAGAGAGAGATTTTGAGCAGAGAGGAGCACGTGAGAGAGAGATTTCAGCCACATTAGGTGAGAGACATTTTGAACCATTAGATGTTGATTGTAATTGATCTCAACCATTGAAATGTCCTTGTAGGACATATGAGAATGGAACATTTCTAGCCCTTGGATTGAAGCAATCTAATGATTCACATTTTGACACATAGACATTTGAAATCAAACTAACCCTTCCATTCTTATATAGATATATATATATATATGCCCGTGCCTAAAGGCACGGTGTAAATAATATTAAGATTAAAATGCAGTTATAAAAATATATTTAACAGACTGTACTCTACAATTCCAAATAAATCAAATAAAAAAAATTAAATATCATAATGCACACAAATCAAAACAAATCAAAAGAAAACTCTTCTATCATTAAAACATTGCAAAATCAATAAAACATTGTGATCCATTGACAAAGATTAAGAGAATAGAACACATGAAGCAAAGCCCACATTATAACCTCCTTTCTATTTACATTACATTAACAAAACAATTCACACATTTCACAGCACCAACACTTCAAAGATTCCCCCCCCCCAAAAAAAAAAGGGGGCATGAAATTGAACAAAGAAAACCATACACAACGATTAAAAAAAAAAACGATTGAAAATAATAAATTTCAAATTTTATCTTATACATATCAAACAATTTATTTTTAGTTTAGTACTTAAATTTTGATCAAACAACTTTTTAACTCAATAAATTTAACATTCAATTTTCAATACTTAATTTTTAATTTTCAACTGTATTAAACATTACCTGAGTCCAAACCTTATCATAAGACATAGAACTAAAGTCGGGAAATATAAGTAGAGTAATCTACCTAAAACTCTATCTTTTATGTAGTAAGTTTGTATTTGTAAAATTGTTACAAATCTTTTATAGGTTACGGCAAATTACCGTGGGTAAAACTGATAGCTTGAACTGCCCTCAATTATGTATTCATTCGGCGGAAAGATGTTGCTATTGAGACTGGACCGACCGCAAGATTAAGCTTGAGTCTGCATAAAAACCCAATTCAAGTAAAATTAATACATTAAAGACTATCAAATCTTGTGAATTTAATAGTTTGTTGAACTTAATTAGCAAGAAAAACAGAGTAAGGGTGTTGAATACTCATAGAGGCCGACTATAGGTGATAAATTCGCAAGTTTTGAATAACGTATTCCCTGCAGTGTGAGATAAAATCGACATGAGATCTGGGAAGAAGGTATAGATTTTCTTTTTTGCTATATATTTTTCTGGGATAGTATATGACCCCGATATGTGACATAGAACAAATAGTTTTCCTAGCCGTTTAGTTGTGTTTCTATTTTTAGTTTTTTTGAAAAACGAAGACAATGAAAAATTCTAAAAATGGCCATCATTTTAATATTTATGATTATATATACATATGAATACTCGAAAATAAGTACTTGTTTAGTTGTGTTTTCATTTTCTGTCATCTGTTTTTCATTTTTGGAAAAATACCAAAAAATGTGACATAAAACTGGATAATTTTCCTACATAGCCCTGTTTGGTTATGCCTTTGTTTTCTTTGTTTTTCATGCTTTAAAAAATTTAAAAAAAAAAACCAAAAAAAGGAACAATGAAATGTTAAAATAAAAAATAAAATAAAAAAGTGGTTTTTTTCATTGCTAAGAAAAAACGGTTTACGAAAATTCGAAAAATAATTCGTAAAAAGTGGGTTTTGTTCATTACAAAAATTTAATTAAATCAAAAACAGTTCACCAACCAACCTTTTATGTTTGTTCAAAAAAAAAACACCAACCTTTTTGCCTGTTTTTTGAAAATGACATTATGTGTCCGAGCGTCTCTGATTCTGACGGCATGACGAAAACATCTCCGCTGGCGTATGCTTGAGAGAGCCCTTCACCTCCTAACATCCCTGTGAATACGGCAGGCATACCGGAGAACAGCTTTTCGAGATCCTCCCTGCCACGAAGAAATCAAGATGTTGAATAAATTTTGCCCATGGTTCTTACTGGAAAATAAATTCAAGCGATCATCATGGCCCAATTTGTGTATCATTGGATGTATGCAAAAATATAAAAATAAATAATTCATTTCGTTAAACAGCGGTTTGTGGTTTTTAATACAAAGAATCATTTTATACTATATTCTATAGAGATTGTTCCAGCAATGTTGACAAAACTAAACAGCCAATAAGTCCTTAGAGAAATACCTATATGGTCCATCTCCAATAAAAGCAATTCGTGCCTCCGGTATCTAGTCCATGACACTGTGCAATCATACATCCCAAATGTCAATGGTTACAACTTATAATAATTATGAAAAAAAAGCATTGTTCCGTCAATATTTTGCAAGTAATATTTCCTAAATTGCAAAAGCAGAAAATACTTATCATTTGAAATAAAAGAGCAGTACCTTTTGAGTAAATCCAAACTCTTCTCAACTCCTAGTCGTCCAACATGGACTATCACTGGTCTCTTGGGCTCTCCATTGCTGATTAAAAAAATAACAATATATTAACATTTGGAGGAAACTCATATTACATGGCAATGAAATTTTAAGGATTGAAAGAAAGCCATACCTTAGTCTTATTCGCATTTCTTGAGAGCGATATTTGGGATGGAAGCTTTCGGAATCAACACCCTTATTCCATAGACGAATCTTGTTACCTGGAAATAAACAAAGAATTAACATGGATATGAGCTGCTATTTTCAGAGAAACATTTAAAAAAAATAAAATAAAAATTCAAGCAGAAGCATAAATGTCAAATTCTGTTATGTGATCAATGTGAAATTTCAGAGAGTCATCAATAATATTCTCTGGTTTCTCTTTTATATTATTAGATTTCATATTATAATGAATACATTATAATATACTTCCCAAAATTACTATATGTGAGAAAGATTTCATATTTAAAAAGTATAAAAGATTTCATATCATAAACTGAGAAAGATTAATAATATTCTCTGGTTTCTCTTTTATATTATTAGATTTCATATTATAATGAATACATTATAATATACTTCCCAAAATTACTATATGTGAGAAAGATTTCATATTTAAAAAGTATAAAAGATTTCATATCATAAACTGAGAAAGATTAATAATATTCTCTGGTTTCTCTTTTATATTATTAGATTTCATATTATAATGAATACATTATAATATACTTCCCAAAATTACTATATGTGAGAAAGATTTCATATTTAAAAAGTATAAAAGATTTCATATCATAAACTGAGAAAGATTAATAATATTCTCTGGTTTCTCTTTTATATTATTAGATTTCATATTATAATGAATACATTATAATATACTTCCCAAAATTACTATATGTGAGAAAGATTTCATATTTAAAAAGTATAAAAGATTTCATATCATAAACTGAGAAAGATTAATAATATTCTCTGGTTTCTCTTTTATATTATTAGATTTCATATTATAATGAATACATTATAATATACTTCCCAAAATTACTATATGTGAGAGAAAGATTTCATTATGAATACATTATAATTCAAAATTCAGAATTCAAGAGTGGGAGTTCGAAGGGAGCCGAAGACAGCAGAATTTAACTATCACCTAAATTCTGAATTCAAGCTACAAACATATATAATTTTAACAAATTTCAGTTAGTAGTATGTATAATTTTAGAAGAAGAAGACATATAGCTATTAGTCAGAAGAAGTATAGCTATCTATCTGCTAGTGCAATCAATCAATCTAGAATTGTGGATAAGGTTATCTGGGCCGAAAACCATCTCCTATCCAGCCGAAGGGAGCAGAATTTAGGTGAATTTAGGACCAAAATTCAGAATTCAAAATTCAGAATCCCAAAAACTCATTCAGGATTCAAAATTCAAAATTCATAATTCAAAAAGAGAAAAACACAACAGCGAGTTCGAAGTCTTACCTTGCGAGTGGGAGTTCGAAGGGAGCCGAAGACAGCCAAAAACAGACAGAACCTTGAGCCAAAAACAAACCCAGTAAAATGAGATCATATACAGAATGTAGAGGAATAAAGGAACAAAATAGAACACAATGCATTTGACTACAGGAATAAAGGAACACAATAATAGAGGAAAACTCAATAACAGAGGAGATAACACATTGTATCTAACTAAAAAAAATACAACAAAGAGTAATCAAGATAATCCGGAAAAAAATTCTGAAATCAACAAAGAGTCAAACAGACAGAATAGGGAGATAGCTTCCAAGGACTCACATGAGTTATTGAAATTCTGAAATTAACATGAGATAACACATGAGTTATTGAAATTCTGAAATTAACATGAGATAACACATGAGTTATTGAAATTCTGAAATTAACATGAGATAACACATGAGTTATTGAAATTCTGAAATTAACATGAGATAACACATGAGTTATTGAAATTCTGAAATTAACATGAGATAACACATGAGTTATTGAAATTCTGAAATTAACATGAGATAACACATGAGTTATTGAAATTCTGAAATTAACATGAGATAACACATGAGTTATTGAAATTCTGAAATTAACATGAGATAACACATGAGTTATTGAAATTCTGAAATTAACATGAGATAACACATGAGTTATTGAAATTCTGAAATTAACATGAGATAACACATGAGTTATTGAAATTCTGAAATTAACATGAGATAACACATGAGTTATTGAAATTCTGTTTCCTTTATTTTAGCATGAGTTATTAACATGAGTTATTTAACAGGAAATCAACACCTTACACACCATGTATCGAGCAACAATTGTATTTATACCCTTAACGCTAATTATAACCGCCATTAATCTTTCAGTGAATATTTAAACATGAGACCATGTTATCTTGAAGAGAAAAAAATAGCAGCGATATCAAGAACAAAGTGGCTGGCAGCTTAAATTTGTAAGCAGGACCACTGAATGGTCCAGCTAAGATAACTTCATCATACATAAAGAGTAAAGTAAAGATTTAGAAATGAGAAGACTTTAACCTAAACCACTTAATAGAAAATCATTAGTTCATAACTGAATTTAAACCAGTAACAGACAATTTTAACCATCCACCAATTTCTTGATGATTAAAGAGAAGATTCAGTAATGCTCAAGGATATGCAAATTAATTACACCTGAGACATATGAGATGGGTTCTGAGGCAGCTGATGAAAAATCAAGTCCTTCACCACCAGCCATGATTCCAATCATTGCAATCTTAACCTGCAGAAGACAAATAACAAATTATTACCAACTTGCAGAACCTGAATCGCAAACCGCAAGATTCTAATAATAGAGCAAGCATCTAATACAAAAGTCAAACTTTTGAACAACAAAAAACATGAGTTGGACAAAAAAAATGCAAATAAATAGCCTTTTAGTAATGGAAACACAGATTTTAACACAAAATTGACTGAGTTACACCGTGTGTTCCATTGATTTTGTGTTCCATTGTGTTCAAATTGTTATTATTTTACTCGATGACTACAGGAAGTCAAATTTGATTTCAGAATTTGATGACTATAGGAAGTCAAATTGTTATATATAATACTATGCGTTCCAATTCCCCACACATTTAACTCCAGGTGCGGTTATAATTCATTCAACAACACTTTCTTTGTCTTTCTCTTAGATTGAGTTATTTTAGCATGAGTTATTAACATGAGGTTAATTCAGGAAATCAGTAAATCAGGAAATCAGTAAATCAAGGCTCTTTAATTTTTACTCAAGGCACGGTGTAAAAAACAGGAAATCAGTCAACCTGAGTCAATTTTGTTATTCTGAAATTCATCTCTGGAGTGATAAACTAACCCAACAGAATTTTAAGGCACAAAGTCAGAATTCAAGGCAGCAGAGTTTTAAGGCACAAAGTCACAAATGTATGAGTTTTAACCCAGCAAAAATCACCTGAGATACGAAACTAAAAACTAAGAAACAATAAGGAAATTATTTACACTTGAATAGAGAGAGAGGGGGAGAGAGAGAGAGGGAGAGGGAGCACAATGTAGGTCCCCAAAGGCTCAAATGTTGAAGAAATGAAGCCCCTTCCCACAATTACCAGATAATCCTTCAATGATCAACCCAGAATAAACAATGAAAAAATACAAATGAACAAATAATGGAAAAATACATTCACATTCATGATCTGTCTATCTCTCGCACCTAAATCTTCCTCAATTTTCAATAACATCTCTCAACCCTAACCCTAATTCCTTATTTATCCATTTCCCAGATCCCCAATTTCTCTCTCTCTCTCTCTCTCTCTCTCTCTCTCTCTCTCTATATATATATATATATATATGTGTGTGTTTGTACCTATCAGTTTTGGTGGTGGTGGTTATGGCGTGTGTGAAGAGGGTTAACAGATCGGCGTCGGTGGCGTTCGCACCGGACCCCCCCATACATGGCGGCGAGGACGATGGCCTTCGTCGGTGAATCTCGAGATCTTCGAGGTCGATTTCCAGTCCGACGATCGTGAGCTCCCCGTTGTCGGCGATTTAATCGGGTCTCTTGGGGGAAGAATAAGCAACACTATCATTTGCACAAACAGAACCAGCGTTGGATATCAAGGACTGGAGAGCAGTGTCGGGAGCTAGCGAAGATGGAGGGTAGGAAAGAAGAAGAACCGTTGGATGAGAGAGGGAAGGGTAAGGGAGAGACGTGTTTAGGTAGACGTGAGAGAGAGAGCAGAAATTGTTTGGGCGGTAAAAAAATTGATGACAACCGTTGGATATTGATTGGGGATTATCTCAGCCATTGGTTTAAAATGTATCTCACATACATTTTAAGACATTTTCAAAAAACCTCTTGACTTATTATATAGATATTTATTTTCTAGATAGAGAAAATGGAAATGGCTCAGTGAACTCGTTTGGAAAAATGTTTTGTCCTCTGTTATTTGGCTATCTAAATGCTATTCATAATAAATAAAGGAATAAACTGTTTATTGAGTCCCTTCGAATTCCAAACCAATATCAAGGACTCATAGAGCAGAGAAAAAATATACAGTGAAGGTGAGAATAAGGATTGCTTGATCATAGGAGATAGCTTCCAAGCATTCAAATTGATTTGATTATATATATTACGCATACATATAATATACACCAAGTCTTGCCCTTTTTGTTCAATCAGGTTTGCGATTTAATAATCAACCAACAACAGCGATAAAGAGCAAAGATAAACAACCAGTTCATACACTCAATGATGATCTTCACAACCATATAGACAAACCAGTTAATTGTAAGGGGGATAAAAGTGAAATTAACCCTTGGTTGCTAAATGTTGTTTCTTTTTGTTTGTTGAAATTGAAATGAATGTGATGACAGACAACTATGATTAATTCAAAATTTCGCCCTAAAACTGAAGCCTCAGGATTCTCAATGTAAAATACCTCTGTTTTGAGGTTTGGATTGCAGGGAATCCATGGAAATTCAACCTAAAATAGTGATCAAGACAGACAAAGAATTGAAGAACTGAATGTAAAATACCTTGCGATTTCGAAAACTGATGGTGATCAATGGCGACAGTGATGATGAGCAACGGCGGTGGTGGTGAGCTGGTCCATCTCTGATCTGCTACCTCTGGTCACCAGTTTGAGAAGTGAATTGAAGAAGATTAACGTTCTCTGATCTGCTACCTCCTAATCTTGAAGAAGATTATGGGTGTTGAAGAGAGAACGTTAGAGAGAGAGTTGA